ATATATATATATATATATATATATATATATATATATATATATATATATATATTACTTGAGGCTTGAGAGTTTCATTTGAGCTATACAACCTTCCAAAAGCAAGCAGGAATTATATCTAAGGTGGGAACTTTTTAGTCAGCATGGCTGATGTAACCCCCTATGGAGGATATTGACATGTAGAGAAATGGAGGGACTTTTCCAAGGTCCCACTGCTGTTTATTGGCGAAACCCAAGCAAAATTCCATGTCTCTGGGTTCCTGATCCACTTCACTAAGGGACCTGAGTATTTATGTATGCTCCTGGAGACAAGACTTTTTTTTTGAAGTTCAGAGAAACCAGTCAATGTTGGAGGAGTCTTGAGGGTTTTCACATAGAAAACTAGGATGGGATGGTGAAGAGAAGGCTCCAGGCCAGTTGCCGTGGTGCCTGATGGTCAGTTAGCTTTCCTATAAGTCTGGACCAGGACCAGGTCAGTGTCCATTTGCCAGCGCACTGTGTGGCTTCTTATAATCAGGGAACTTTGGTGGATATAAAAAGCAATTGAACTTATGAAAGGAATTGAGATGATGCTACATTTCATTGAGTAACTATTCTCACTGTAAATGGAACGGGTTTTGTTTTTCTTCATTTGGAAGTCTTTTTAATGAGTACAGTTGTTACTATTTTTTTAAAGCACCCTAAACTCTTTGCTTCTAGTGAAACAAAAACCAGTCATTAGATATGGTCTGTGCTTTTATTTTTCTAGACTAGAATGAAATGGCTTTCCTGAAACACACACACACACACACACACACACACACACACACACACACACACACCCTTCATTTCTCCGAAGCCAAGAAATCTGCTTTCCCCACCTAGTTTGGATCTTTTTTTAGACATCATTTGGTATTCACATGTGGCTGTTAATATGTGCTTATTTTTTAATTAAAGCAAGACTCATTAAACCGGTGTGTGGTGTTCTTCAACCCTTCTCAACAGATTCCCCAGGGTGGCGGCCCCTCCGTGACCTGCTCCTGTCTTCTTGGCATTTAACCTATCTGCCTTCCACTGCCCACTCCCCTGGCATTCCACTTCGAACATCCTTTCTCTTCGGCTAATTTCGTGTTTTCTCTCTCTTTCTCTCTCCCTCTCCAGCTTTTTTTAACCTTGTCTTCAGCAGCTGTTCTAAGTCTACAGGAGAAGACTGCCATTCTAGAAGAGTTAGTTAGGGCTCCATATTGTCTCAAGCAAGAAACCAACCAGTTCCCCTCTCCCTGCAACTGTGCACATATACACCACACTCAAGTGTACATGTGTCCCTGTGTCCAGGCAAGAAGCTCTCTTCTGACTTACATGGTGTTTTACATGGAAGTGTCTTGTCCTAAACTTACAAGGCAGGAAAAGAATCATCAGAGCTGGAAATGGACCAGATGTGACCTCAGAGACGACGACAGGACCACTCCCCCAGGTGTTAAGTGACTGGGGCAGGAGACCTCAGCTGTGGGTGTGGAAGCGCTGTTCACAAGGTTTTGAGTTCTATGTTTGGTTTAAAACAATTCTCGGGGTCAATGGGTCGACTGTCTTCAGCCACTATTAAGCTGATTGTGACTATGGAAGAGAAAGTGGAGAGACATTCGCGTCTTCAGCATTCACGGGCTTGCAGACCCCAGCAAGGGGGAGAAATGGAGCATTAACAATTCCGCTGGAGAAAGAGACTGAGGGGGTTTAAGCTTAGTGAGAGCCAAGTTTCTCCACACAAACTTCCAAGGGGCTTTGGGGGTTTTGCAAGAGGTTTCTGCTCAACTTGGTATCTGGAAGGAGAGCTTTGATGTTGGTAAATCTGCCTTCAATTCATTGGCTTTACTTAACACCCAAATACCACGTGAGTGATCATTCTCATATAGCCATACCACAAACACCAACATTCTGCTGTCCTGTCTCTTGAGAGCCTCTCCGCATGTTTTCCAGAATCTGTGTTTGTTTTTTTCCTTTCTTCTCCGTGGTTCTTTTTGCTCAAAGGTGTGACCAGTCACTGCCCCTCGGGGGCTTTCATTTTCCACAAGATTCATCCCAGAACCAGCACTGTTTAGCTCATTATCTTTCTAATGTCCATGTCAATTTTCAATAAAATTCAAACAAATGCTCAGTGCTTCTATGATCTGGTCCCATCAGTTGGTGGCATGGCTCACCACAGTTTGCTTTAGGAAATGGGTGGCCACCTCCCAAGTGGATAATTTGGGAGGCTCAGAGAGAGGCCATGAGCCCACTAAGTCTTCCTCAGTGGACCGCCACGCCCCTTCTTCCATGCCCTGAAATTCCAGTGGGGCAGGGTGGGTATTAGCAGGCAGTCTCCTGCTTTCCCTTTAATTAGCACTGGTTGGACTAATCAAATGAACTATCAGACGGTAAAGGGAGGGGAAAACAGAAAATGGCATCCCACAGAGCAAAATCCAGGTAAGTTTTAATTATGGAACAAAAACAGCTCTGTGCTACGTCTCTCATTTACTCCTGTGATGTGAACATTTCTCCCTATCTCACAAGTTAAAAGACATTCTGTAGATACTAAGCCTTCAGTCTCTCAGAGAGAGATGCCTCCCATCCTCCCAAACGTTAAGGTAGGCAAAAGGGAGAATGGTCAGTTTTCAGAAATCTGGTTGTGAGTGAAGTGGAGCTTGCTTCCCCCAGCTCCATTTGCCTACCTACCAAATGCAGTAGAAAGGACCAGTGAGTCTTTTCTGCAGGGAAACCGGAAGCCTCTGCCCAGGTACCAGAGACCTGCCTCTATGCAGCTCACATAGGTACCAGCGCGAACAGCACTGACCTGCCTCTACGCAGCTCACACACTAGAGGGCAGCAGAGTAAGCCTATTCTCGTTTATGACGTCGCTGCACACTGATGAGCCTGCAGAGGTGTGGAAAAATACAGGCTCCTTAGCTGGTTGGAATAGCGGGAAAGTTGTGATAAAGAAAGTCAAACGCGGCCTGGTAATATGGTAAGGCGCCTGCTGCCAGGCCCAATGAGTTCGAATCCCGGGCCCCATATGGCGGAAGGAGAAACCTGATTTCTTGTAAGTTGTTTTCATTTCCCCCAGACGTGCTCTGGCACTACACCCAGCCCCGGAAAATAAATAAATAAAAGACCGAGTTCGAAGCCCTGGGAACCGTTTCTATTACCGAGAAACAACAAAATACAAAAACGCCAAAGGCTGGGATGATGGCACATTCCTATAATTTCAGCATTCAGAAAACATGGGGAAGGGGATGTCAAACACAGTGAGTCCAAGGCCGGTCTGAGTTACATATCCTGACCCTGTCTTAGTAAACCCGGCGTAGGGTGGGGGCGGGACTTCTCTAGACAAGGAGAATACCAGTAAGTCCTTCACAGAACCAATACGCGTTGAAAACAAAACACAAAAAGTATCTGGGCATTTGGACCATCGAGGTGCCTCAGCAGGAAAACCGCCAAGCCTCTAATGATCTGAGTTCAATTCCTGCGAGTAGAGAACGGATTCGTGCAAGTTGTCCTCTGAATTTAAGTCATGTGCCATGGTGCAGGCAAAGGTAGGTACAAAGTCACTGAATAAATGAAAATGAAAAAAATCCTGGATGGAGCTGGGGAGATGACCCATTGCGGCTCTTGCTGAGGACCATGTTCCCGGCACAGGAGCTGAGAGCCCTTGTAATTCCAACTCCATGGTTTCCCTCTCCCTCTTCTGGCCTCTGAAGCTCCAGAATTCACATGCACATACCCACACATAGACAGAAACACATACACATGATTTAAAATAAATCTTTAAAAAAAAAAAAAAAACACGGGGCATTTAGGTTTCTTGTTCTGGACACCTCCCATTGAGAACCATTACAATGTTGCATTACTGCTTGCTTGCCCTGGGTTTGATCCTTAGCACCCAATAGAACCAGCAGTGGTAGTATATGCCTAATACAGCCCTGAGAAGGTGAGACAGGAGGATCAGGAGTTGGCTATTGTATCATGTTCAATGTCAACTTGAGTTAAGTACATTCTCTTCTTCTGGACATTGTCAACTTTGGTAAATGACTCATTATTACAGCATTTTAATCTACCAAATTATTTCCTTTACATCATTTTTCTCTAAAAATGCAGGATCTAGTCTAGAATCATATATTTTGTCTTGCATTTTAAATCTCCTTAATTTGGAATAGAATTTATTTGCCTTTTATGACACTGATCTTTTTTTGTAATATTTTATTTTAATTTTAAAACTACAAATGTGTGTGAGCAAGAATGTACATGAGGACATGCCTGTGTTTGAGAGTGTCTGAGCTCTTGGAACTGGAGTTAGTGTACGTCTGAGAGTGCTGGGAATTGAACTCTGGTCCTAGCGTAGCATGCATCTGAGATGGGTTTTTCTGTGCAACAGCCTTTGCTGTCCTGGATCTCGCTCTGGAGACCAGGCTGGCCTTGAACTCACAGAGATCCGCCTGAGTGCTGGGATCAAAGGCGTGCGCCACCACCGCCCGCCCGCTTTAGTAGTATGCATTCTTAATCTCTGCCATCTCTCCACCTTCAACACTGATTTTTCTGAAGTCCTTTTTGTTGTTGCTTTTAAAGATACAGAACGTGCGGTGCGCTGTCAAGTGTAGCTCAGCAGAGCTGTCTTCTGACTTTCACAAATGCACCATGACACCCATGCACCCACATATACAATAAATTCATAAATAGTAAGAAAGTATTTCCATGTGGTGTCAAGGTGTTGCCTCATTCCCCCACTATATAATTGCCAGGCTTAGTCACCCCTCTTCCATCAACGATCTTACTACTAAAAAGCTATGTAGAGAAACTGTAAGTCCCTGCATACACCTTGTTTGACACTCTGTCTCAAGACAATAAAACAAACAAAAGCCTCTCTAAGGATTTGTATGCAGATGATGCGGGAGAGAAGGTTTCTTCAGTGTATAGCTGATGGT